CCGACTGCACGGACGTCGAGCGCTCTGCTGAGCCAACATTTATTTTTCTCACACGCGCTCGACCGGTCGCACTCAAATAGTGGGTTTGGCAGCGTCGTGTCAATACTGTGAGTGGTGACACACTAACCGCACTGCACCCACTGCACTCGGCGCGGCCATGTTTGTTATGTCAGCATGCCAATGGAGCGTCTATTGTGTTAATTAATGTCACAATGTTCCCTTTTTCTGTATGCATTCTGGTCAGCGAATAAGCCAATCACTTGTGCATGATTCTGGTAAATGATAGGAACAGTAGAAGCAAGCTTCTTTGAAATTCTGTTTTAAGATACTCTTGTTTTATTTGCATCTATTTTAGATAAGTTTGTGCAAAATTGCACATTATCCATTGAAGTCAAGGCGACACATTTGCTTTTTTTGTCGTTTATTTGTGTCCTATTTATTCACCTCTTGCACCTCGTCCCGTCGAGTCGACCTATCGTGTCTCTGTGTCGGCTTGGTGACGTGTGTGCCTAACTGACCCGTGTATCCCTCCGACAGTGATGGGGTTCGGCGACTTCCTGCCGAGGATCGGCGGCTCCGGCGCCGGAGGTCTTCTGCCCAGCCTGCTGCTGCTGCTGCTGAGCTCAGCCGTGCTGGCTGCTGCGCGCTGCTGAGACGGCTGATCAGCGGTCTGTTGCTGGTTAGGAAGTGCAGTCTCCCGGGAGCATATCAAAGACTCTGAGAGAGACGTTTGTCGGAGACGAAGTCACGGTCAGTGTGTCTGCCGCAGTGTCACGTAGTCACAGTTTCGGAGCCAGTGTCGCGGCGGCAGTATTCCAGACTTATTGTCGAGGGCAGTCCCCCGGTGCCTGGCGATACAGCAGTTACAGTGACGGATATCGGCCAGTAAGCTGACACCTCGTCTGAGCAGTGTCAGTCAGTGTGTTGTCTACGCCTGCCGTGCGGCCTCCGTACAAGGACGGGTGGGATGCGGACCGGCCGCCCCGACCGTCGGACAGCGGAGCTGACTGGTGTAATGTTTACAATCCCACCGCCCTGTCCAGTATCCCAGCGGAACAGAGACACTCCTACTAGGGGAGGGGGGGGCTGACTCAGCTGACCGACTCAGCTGGACTGACTCAGCTGGACTGAGTCGTCGGAAGCTGAGTCAAGGAGTACGGCACGGCGCTCGAATCCCAGGAACGTGACTCGTCAGTGGATATGTTATTGAACCGGGAACCGAGCTGGCTCACGGTGCGCTGCCCGCACAATGAATGGAAGAGTCGGCTCACGGGGCGGACTGGAGCGCACGTGATTCCGTGAGGTCAGGGGAAGGGAGGGGAGGGAGGGGCAAACGGGATCCGGGCATTAGGAGTCGGCCGAACCGGCGCCTTCTGTGATAGAATATGTGTCCGGCGCGTCGGCCGATTAGGCGAGCTGTGAGCTCGCGGTGGACGCAGAACGGCTCACATGTTCACGATAGAAACCATACTGTGTAGTGTGTGTGCTCTTGTGTGTATGTATGTGTGCTTGTGTATGTGTGTCGATAGTTATCACGAACCAGTAAACACATAGTTGAACAGAGACAAGCCCCGACTAAACGGCGCTGGCGACGGAGCTATTGGTGCTATTCTACACCTACAGCCCTATTTAGTCAATATCACTGCTGGATTATATGAAATGTTTGAGATATGTGTTTATGTGTCATTAGTGTATGTTAATTATCGAAACTGAATCTCCTGTAGGAGTTCCGGCCATTATCACAACAAATGTCAGCGATTATCCATGCATATTCATGATAAATACATGCTAACACCATACACATTACACAAAATACCGTGTTTATCATGTGTTTATGGAAGATGCTGATCACTTTGGATGAGTTAACCTCCAGCTTATTGATTATGCGCCAGCGCCCAGTAGGTACCAAAGTCGCTTTAATCTGATGCCTATATTTTTCATAAGATAACGTTTGATACGACAAATGTTCGTAAGTCGATGATAAACAAGCAAAATGGGACAGCCAACTCACAGTATTTATCTACGATTGCTAGCCGAGTCCATTAGGTATAAGGCCTTGCAGTACAGTCTAACAGCCAGGAAGGTACTGCGGTACAGCCTAACAGCCGGGAAGGCATTACGGTATAGTGTAACAGCCAGGAAGGCATTGCGGTACAGCCTAACAGCCAGGAAGGCATTGCGGTACAGCCTAACAGCCGGGAAGGCCTTGCAGTACGGTCTAACAGCCAGAAAGGCCTTGCAGTACAGTCTAACAGCCAGGAAGGCATTACGGTATAGTGTAACAGCCAGAAAGGCATTGCGCCTGCGGTACAGTCAACAGTCAGGAAGGCATTACGGTATAGTCTAACAGCCAGGAAGGCATTGCGGTACAGCCTAACAGCCGGGAAGGCATTGCGGTACAGTCTAACAGCCAGAAAGGCATTGCGCCTGCGGTACAGTCTAACAGTCAGGAAGGCATTGCGGTACAGGCTAACAGCCAGGAAGACATTGCGGTATAGTCTAACAGCCAGGAAGGCATTGCGGTACAGTCTAACAGTCAGGAAGGCATTGCGGTACAGCCTAACAGCCGGGAAGGCATTACGGTATAGTCTAACAGCCGGGAAGGCATTGCGGTACAGTCTAACAGCCAGGAAGGCATTGCGGTACAGCCTAACAGCCAGGAAGGCCTTGCAGTACAGGCTAACAGCCAGGAAGGCATTGCGGTACAGCCTAACAGCCGGGAAGGCATTACGGTATAGTCTAACAGCCAGGAAGGCATTACGGTATAGTCTAACAGCCAGGAAGGCATTGCGGTACAGTCTAACAGCCAGGAAGGCATTGCGGTACAGTCTAACAGCCAGAAAGGCATTGCGGTAGGTACAGTCTAACAACCAGTAAGGCATTACAGTACAGTCCAACAGTCAGGAAGGCATTACAGTACAGTCTAAGAGCCAGGAAGATATTGCGGTACAGTCTAACAGTCAGGAAGGCATTGCGGTACAGTCTAACAGCCAGGAAGGCATTACGGTATAGTCTAACAGCCAGGAAGGCATTGCGGTACAGTCTAAAAGCCAGGAAGGCATTGCGATACAGTCTAACAGCCAGAAAGGCATTGCGGTACAGTTTAACAACCAGTAAGGCATTACAGTACAGTCTAACAGCCAGGAAGATATTGCGGTACAGTCTAACAGTCAGGAAGGCATTGCGGTACAGTCTAACAGCCAGGAAGGCATTACGGTATAGTCTAACAGCCAGGAAAGCATTGCGGTACAGTCTAACAGCCAGCAAGGCATTGCGGTACAGCCTAACAGCCAGGAAGGCATTGCGGTACAGTCTAACAGCCAGGAAGGCATTACGGTATAGTCTAACAGCCAGGAAGGCATTGCGGTAGTCTAACAGCCAGGGCCCAGGAAGATATTTATTGCGGCAGCCTACCAGCGTCCAGCCAGGAAGACACGCTTCCGTTGTAACACATTATACCAAGTTTTACTCTTAGCTGGTGTGCACGGAGTCTAGGTGAAGACAGATGAGTTGAAGAGACTCAAAAGGTGCCTCCTCTTCAATAGTTCTCCGTGTGTGAGAGTAGGTAAACGTTTACGAGCGTTGTATGGAAATAATGACATCGGACGGTCTTGGTCTATTTGCCAAGCATGTAGCGTAGCGAACTTGTGCTCGCTCTATAGTGCATACCTATTGCTAGCAATTACCAAAGGCAGAACGATATTCCCTACATTTTACAAAAAGTTAGCGTGAGAGCCTGGCCTGGTCTGTAATGTCGTCGAGCAGTAGGTAACTAGGTAGGTATTGCTAGACATCTTCCCAGTTATTTATTATACGCCGGTTTCACGAGCAGTCTTGTGAACACATGAATTTGAAATTGGTAAACAAAGCTGTACTGAGTCATACCTAACGCACCAAGGTGTGAATGAATGTCGCTGCATTGTGTTCTTGAAGCTGACCGAATTCCCAATGATTCAGGGTGGGATTCGTTGCGAAAATCGCACCACTTCCGTTGTGACAGCGCATTGAACATCACTCGGGCCCCGGACTGCCCCCACAGAGTCGGTCCTCAGCCTGCCCTCTCAAATACGCTCTGTCACCACTGATATTATTCAGCACAGTCAACACCATAAACCGGAAATACTGGGACATGCCCGCCCGGAAAGGCCACAGGCGTGGGCCTGCCACCCGCTTGGATCGTTCCCTCTCCCCCACATAGGATATTATTCACCACCAGAGTCGCGTCTGTGATGCGGTCACCAGAGGTCACAAAGGTCACAGAGGTCACCGGACAGTCACCAGATATCACTGGGTGGCCAACATTGGCCGCGGTATGTCCGGCACCGGGCACCACCACCTCGCCGTCGGCGCCGGGTTTTTCTGAGCTGTCGGGATCAGTGCTGGCCCATGCTGTGTCAGCTGGATGACCGAGTCGGCCGCCCGGCGACTGCACTAGGTCAAGGTCACGTGACGGTGCCAGATGGGAAGCGTGCCGTGAGGGGAGGGGAGGGGGAGGGGTGTCGGTGCCGAGGTGTGACACCGCTGGAGCGGCGGCCCCGTCCCCTCGCCGGCTAGATAGAGTCCTGAGCGACTGCCTCGGCTGGCCTCGGTCCTATCTGACACATCCACCACACGGTGTATTTCGATCTGTCCTCAAGGTAATCAGTCTGCTCGCCCCAACGCTCACAGTCTGTCCTAGAGTTAACTGGTTACCGTCAGTCTGGTTGGGAGTTAACTGGCTGCTGGCTGTTCGAGAGTTGATTGTCTGTCGTCTGTCTGGCTAAGAGTACCTAAATTTGCCAGCGCAGTCGTCTGTCTCCACGATCTCTCATCGTCCAATCGTCTTAGCTGCTGATATCCATCGGCTGCTTTAGGCAATATCCATTTAAAAATGGAAAAAATTAAGCCAAACAGACCTAATGTGGAAGAAAAACGGAAAAAATCGACAGAATAAAAAGGCGCGTGAATTAACGTTGCCTGATACCTGCTTCACCTTAAATCCATCCATGTGATATGCTCGCAACGTTTTGTAAAAATGTATTCAATAAATAATAAGGAATCACACAATCACGAGATAACGCAGCAGCCGAGCCGACCACTCACTGGGTCGAATATGGACGGAAGGTTAAGCCAGGGGGTCGGGCCCCTCTCTCAGCAGATGGCAGTCGCATACTGCCCGAGTAAGCACATTGCCCGTAACAGTCGATACCCAAGACGGCAGCGGCTGATACAGTGTGAATGTACTGCCCGAGTAAGCACATTGCCCGTAACAGTCGATACCCAAGACGGCTGATACAGTGTAAATGGCTGACGGGTCTAACAGCTAGTGTCCTCCGGGGCGAACCTCGGGACCGTCCAAAGCAGTGTCAGACGACAGACACACGGTATAGCATCACCAATGGACACTTTACATGCGCCCTCGCCGCTTCACTTAGTTAGAAGTACTCTTAGAGAGTTCTTATTGTACTAGTCAGCAGCATTTCACGATAGAGACGGCTTATATGTATATGTACCTATAGCGCATCACATAACGTATCACAATCCATGGGTGGAGCTTTTCCAGGAAAGTTGGTGGGGCAAAAAGTTGTCAAACCTACAATGTCCGATTGTTAAGTTAGATAAAATTCAACAATGAATCAATTCTTTTCATTACAGAGATAATATTTTGCATTACACAGACATTTCAAAGCTCCTCAATGCGAAAAACATAGGTTTGCTAAGCAGTAAAGTCCTGCAAATCGGCTTAAGTTGGTGGGGCAAAACGCTTATTGGTGGGGCAAAATGGCAAGTTGGTGGGGCAGGCGCCCCACCAAGTGAATAGGAAGCTCCACCCCTGTCACAATCTCTTCTCCAGTTTTAGAGCCATCTCGCCGTAACACGACCCGCGACTTTAAACCCGTAACCACAACCAGTCATGTCCATAAGCGGGTCCTGCCCACAACAGCGGTCCCCGTCCGGCGTGCACAACCAGTCCATGTCCACAAACACTCCCTGTACACAAACGGTCCTCGTCCACAAACGGCCTACAAATGTGGAAATCCACAATCGACACTGTTATGCAAACGGCACTTGAAATTCGCAGCGGCTATACCACCTAAATCAAATCCATAGCCCATCAAATGGGTGTTGCCACAATCAACAGACCTTATCTGCTCAAACGGTGGCCCTGTTCACATTGGATACCACTATAGAAGGTCCCTGTCCAGTATATATCTGTATAGACATGGCTTACACAAGAAACTGGGCACAACAGCTATGCTAAATTCATTCAAAGCCAACTGAGCGGCCAGATAGCGTCGTAACTAGTTCAATAATGTATAGCCACTGCTGGCGTCTGTTTCGTTCAAGGCTCCGTTGCCAGGCGGTCGGAGTCCAGACGAGCGCTGTTAGCACGTCGATAACACTCTTCGAACACGCACACGTCATAATACTGCCTCGTCACACTGGATAATACCGGGAGTTCCTAAATAAACAGACGATTTTAATTTCCCTCTGGCGGTGGCTGTGATTAAAATTATGTTAATAAAAGTGCACGTGCTGAAAGCACGTTCATTGCTTTTTGTGTGATACCAGTTTCAATCACTTGTCACCATGAAACCATACAGTACAGACGAAAAAACAAAAGTCATACGCTTATATATTGAGACAAAATCTATTGTCGGTACACAACGTAAATATCGGCGGTTTTTTAAGAGCCGGAAAGCACCATCGAGAAATGTTATTTTGAGTTTGGTGGAGAAGTTTCTGGCCCATGGCAGTGTTGAGAACCTCAGGAAGGGTCGATGCGGCCGAAAGAAGACAAAACGAATACCTGACAACGTGGAAAAGACCCAGAAGGCTCTCCAGCGGAGTGCCAACAAGTCCCTGAGGCGGCTGAGCCAGGAGCTGGGCTGCAGCAAGACAACGGCTCAACGGCTGGCCAGGACTGACTGTCAGCTAGTGTTTAGGTGTCTGTTCACCAAACACTGACGGAGTCCGACAAACAGGCACGAATGCTGTACAGCGGCTGGTTTCTGAGGAACTGCGACGACGATAGCGACTTTCTCCACCAGATCTGGTTCACCGATGAAGCGAATTTTCACCTCGATGGACGTGTGAACTTTCAAAACTTTCGGTTCTGGTCGACCGACCTGCCAGATGTCGTCGCTGAAGCCCCTCTGCACAGCGCCAAGTGCACTGCGTTTTGTGCGATCAGCAGCAGGGGCGTGATTGGCCCTTTCTGGTTCGAGGACAGCGCTGGGGCCACTGTAACGGTTAACGCACAGCGGTACCGGAAGGTCATCAGCAGGTTTTGGACTGCGCTGAGGCGGAAGCTGGGCGGCGCTACACAGCAGCTGGACAGCCAGTGGTTCCAGCAGGACGGCGCCACCGCGCACACGGCCGGCGCCACCCGGAAATGGCTGCGCGACCGCTTTGGTCAGAGGCTGATCTCACGGGGAGAGGTGCACAGCTGGCCCGCGCGCTCACCCGACTTGACGCCATGTGACTTCTTCCTCTGGGGTCACCTTAAGGACCAGGTGTACAGGAACAACCCGGGAACCTTAGAGGAGCTCAAAGAAGCTGTGACCTGTGCAGTCCGCCGAGTGCGACCCGAGATATGCCGGGCCGCGCTGGAGTCGGCACGGAGCCGCGCCGTTCTGTGCCTGGAGCGGAAGGGAGAGCATCTGGAGCATGTGCTCTGCCGCCATCAGTGAGTGGCCAGTGAGACAGTGATCAGACCAATATAAAATAGCATTGACTGTGCTATACAACAGTTATGGTTTTCATTGGATTTTGTCATTGGAACTGGAAATAAATGACTTTTAAAATCGTCTGTTTATTTAGGAACTCCCGGTACCTACTGTCTCGATGGTATGTGTTGTCTTGGAACGGTCATTATTTGAGTATTTTGTGAAGCAAATTTTGGAAGAATGCTGTCTGAAGTACATTTTGGGCCTTAAGACTTGCAGTTCGACAAAGTACTGCGACATCATAAATGCATATACAGTGGTAACACCATCTGAGAGCACGTCAAACGTGCCGTTTTCCCTACAGTCTCATCAGTTTACGGTCCATTCTGCTTAGAGCGTTCACAGATCTCGGGTTCCGCCCGGCCATCACCAGCTGCACCGGCCCGGGAGCGTCCGTCCCGCCGTCCCGCGGACCCGCCACCGGCCGGGGCTCACTGAGCGGCCTCCAGCAGTGTGTCCAGGTCCATCCGGGCCGGACACACTGGGCCGGCTCACTGAGCGGCCTCCAGCAGTGTGTCCAGGTCCATCCGGAACCCGTACAGACTCAGATCGCGGCGGAACCGCTGCTTGACGCGGCGCAGCAGGTGGCGCGGCACCAGCGGCAGCTGCCGCGCCAGCTCGCGCACCACCGTCTCGCGGGAGTCCGCCGACTCCGGGAGCGGCCTCCACGTGTTCCGCCAGCCCATCTCGGAGGCCAGGAACGCCACCTCCGTGTCCAGCTCGGCGGCGTGCAGCACGAAGTCGTACCGGTGGTTGCAGACGGCGCAGGTGTCGGCCGCAGGGGGCAGCGGGTCGTCGGTGACGGCCAGCTCGAGCACCTCGGCCAGCGAGACGGCGGGCCCGGTCCTCTGGCCGGCCGGCACCGTCCATCTGCGGCACGGACCACCAGTCAGACAGGTGCTGCCGCCTGGCGACAGGGAGCCAGCGTGCAACTGTGCTGCCACCTGGCAGAGGCAGGGAGAGCGAGCTCCTACCAAACATTCGTCGAAAATAACATAATATGATACTAAACTCTAAAGCAGTGCAGTATGGCGAGCATGTGATGGGTCTCATAGTTGAACACAAGCAATTCAACAGCCGCTTATCATGCATAACAATTGCGTCCTCAATTTAATGTTTTCGTCAACGACCTGTACCTATCGGTTTTCTAAGATCTTTGCCACATGCCTAAGTACGGAAGGCACGCAAGTAGCGTAGCGTGACATGGTGTTTTCTGAATGTTGACGATGAGAACAACGGTTCCAAGCGAGTTGCGCCATAAATTACATAAGTTATTCCGGTTGATGCCCCGAACTTCAATCTACAGCTTACTTACCCGTCCCGTTGTCTCTTACTGGTGCAATGAGAGTTTAGATCACCCCCTATTAATTTTAAGCTGCATTTAGATCCACATTTATACATGTTGAGACAAGGTGAATCAACATTGCCCGTGGAACATCGAACCTCGGGGCATTTTATAATATCGAAGTCATGGTATGCGTAAGACACTTGCTACCTCAAAGTCGAAACATTCTAAAATGTCGTGCCTGGGAGGCAAAGGCGAGTGATTGCTCTAACGCGCACCTCCGGCAAGTCTATGACGCTTGACGCTTGTCCGACGGCTGTGGCAGCTTTTTTCGCCGTCCATTGCAGCAGGGTGGCCCAGGCAATATGCTGCATTTATAGGACTATGATGATGATGTGTTCGAGTATAAGACATCCTATGAGGCATCCTCTGTTTATCTCGATTGAAATAGTCCATTGTCACACTCGTTCTATCTTTAGGTTTTACCTATGCATAAGGAACTCGGACGTTAGGTGCTAACACCAAGGATTGCTATCCTATCACTGTTTGCCGTCACTTTATTGCATACAGCACAGAAAGGGCGGCCAGTTTTAATTCCGTGTGTAAGTGTTAGGAACGTCTGTGACAACAGACAGCATACAGCCTTCAATAGATGAAGCGGTACAGTCCGTCCCTCGTATGAAGTTATCGTCAATTGTGCCACACACAAATGAACCGGCTCCACACCTGCTCTTCCACGGCAGTGAAGCCCTCATGATTCGCCTAATGAAGACACCACTCTGGCCGCGATCGGAAAGTTCGCCCCGCAGCAATTAGCACCCTCTTCATCAAGGCAATGACGGCGCGTTCTGTTACATTGGCGGCCAATTAGGCCTTTGTTGTACCGATTGCCGTGTCATCGCGTGGACCAACAGCGAGCTCTCGGCAGAGCGCACGGCCGCCGCCCCAAATGAGGGCCCTGCGTACCGAGCCTTTGTGGCAGCGGCGGCAATATGTCGGCGGTCTCAATGGACGCGGCCGGTGAATAGAGAAACAGAGCTCCTTATAAATGGCTCTGCTAATCTCTCGCATAGCAATGCACAGATGAAAGACGAGCCGATGGGATGGTAATGTTCGGTTATGTCTCCCAGCATGGACCACTACTCTCCCAGGCATGTCCGGCATCATCGTGCTCTTCATGACGCTAGCATTGCCTTATTTTGGAACGATGACACCTCAATATTCTTTATTCAGTAGTTGAGGTGCTGTAAACGGACGTTCTTTCCCTTAGTATCTCGGTATCCTATCTTAATGAGCGCACGAATAAAAGCATTTTTCTTCCAAAGACCCCATTTATCTTATATTGTGCTACATCGGAAATTAATCCATTATTTCAGAAGTGCAAATCGGGTAGGTACCATATTATGAGGTGGAATAATGAATGATGAAGTAGAGCCTGTCTTAACTAATTCGAGATAGGGCCTATTGCCATAATCTTCTTATTTCTGTCACCTATTATGGAGATGAGTTCGGGCAGCATTCAGCATCGAGGGTCGAGCAACCACATGCAAGCGAAGCACTGACTAGGATGTCTAACTAGGATAGGATACTAGGATAGGATGACTAACTAGGACTAGGACCACTGCACAACGATGCACGAGGTCCTATAGGACCTATCGCCACCATGGTACTGCACAGCGCACTGTCGCTGGCCGAAGGTCATCCCCATGGGGCGCCGCGTCAGCAAGTCGGTTCGGTTCACTATTGCACTAAGCAATTATGAAGCTCTCGTAAGGATAATCACATGTAATATGCAGCCGGCTAGGGCATAGCTCTCTTGCCTGTCCTGCGGCTGTGAGAGCGCGGCTGGAGCACAAATAACGCCCTGACCGGGTCGTAAATACACACACCTCCCTTCAATCTGAGGCCCTCGGTGTCGGCGGAACTCACATGTGACACATGATCGTACTACAGGCCGACTGTCACATACGTTTACCAACAAGGTCAAAGCACTTGCTTAGTAATAGGGAAGAGCTTAGAACGGTCATTAGTAGATATATAACGTCTCTGCAGAGATCGAGACATTAACTGATAGTTACGGGGCGGACACATCTGTGATATGTTCGCTGATACGGACAAAATTCATGACGTTCTTCTCACTCTCTGGCTATGCATCACAGTGCACCAGGAAAGGAGCGTATCGCATCACCTGGCTGATTTGCTGACAATCAATGCATCACGGGGACATTTGTATTCGGTAAATGAGGTCGTGTGCCGCATTCTGAGGACTCGTTTCTGCTGAGCAGTTTGTAGGTACATATTATTTGATGTCACAATAACGGTCTATGTAGATGACGAAGTTCCGTTCTCCGTGACCCCGACGGCCGATGCCGATGACACCGACATCAGTGTCAGTCAAATAGATGACACGCGACACCGCTTACGGTGGCATCATCTTGACGGGTAATTTACCGCCGTGGTAACGTGTAAATACTCAGAGAGACCAGGGAGAGGAAAATATTCAGACCCTTGGCTGTTCAGTGTGTTCACAGATACCGAGCTCCGATCTCGAGACCGCGAGAGGAAACTGCAACAGCTTCATTATAAAGCCAGGAGGCTATAACAGCCACAGCACTCCCTCCTAGGCAAACTCGGCTTGGTCCGAGTGTTTGCGATGGCCACCTGCATTTTGTTGCACGCGTGGTTGCAGCTTGTCCTGCGGGTGGGTGACACCGTGACCAACCAACCAGCTGCCGTTTGGACAAGCTGCATCCTGAACTCGGCCGAGTGTAAACAGCCAAGCTGTCGTGCATCTGATAAGTGACTCAGGGAGAGAGGGCGAAATCAGAGAGAGAGAGAGAGAGAGAGAGAGAGAGAGAGAGAGAGAGAGAGAGAGAGAGAGAGAGAGAGAGAGAGAGAGAGAGAGAGAGAGAGAGAGCGGGAGAGAGAGAGAGAGAGAGAGAGAGAGAAAGGGAGAGAGAGAGAGAGAGGGGAGAGAGCGAGAGCAAGAGCGAGAGCGAGAGAAAGAGAGAGAGAGAGAGAGAGAGAGAGAGAGAGAGAGAGAGAGAGAGAGAGAGAGAGAGAGAGAGAGAGAGAGAGAGAGAGAGAGAGAGAGAGAGAGAGAGAGAGAGAGAGAGAGAGAGAGAGAGAGAGAGAGAGGAAAAAGGGAGAAAGAGTTTACCTTTAAGAAAGAGGACGGAAGCAGAGCTGTCATAATCAAAGTCAACTTCTAGACGGCAATTAAGCCATACACTAAAGCCACGCACAGCTATGCATCCATTATTCCATAATCCACATTTCACGTGCGATCCTTGCAATCATTTATTCATTAGCTTCATCAAACCCATTTGAATCACTTCCCAATGACGGTGGCCGAGCAAGGTCTTCATTTTGCAGCCGCTCGTCTGCAGATTTTTCAAGCGGAAAACTACCGGTCATGTAAATTCAGACCGCTCTCCAACGTTCCTGCGTCTTCGGCCTTCGCACGGCCTCGGGGCTCGGAAAGCCGGTGGGAAGACCGCATAATTACATACGCACTACAAACGCAGGGAAGGGGTGGCGGGTCGGCCGAGCCACGGTTAATAACCTCTGACCACTCTGTTACTGCCTGTGGCGAAAACAGAGACCACCTGGCGAATACAGAAACCTTCCGGCTTACTACAGCGACTTCTTGGCGAATACCGTGAGGCTATCAGTCGAATAGAGCGGCTGCCACATGTAGGGCACGAGGACGGCGGTCGACTGCCGCCCCGCCGCGGGAGGTCTGCTGACTACAGCGGCTGCCTATGGCGTATACAGCGGCTGCCTATAGCAGGCACACGGACGGCGGTGCATAAGGTCGACCTATGGCGGGTCCGGTGACTGCCCATAGTGAACACGACGTCTGCCTATGGCAGGCACGCGGACGGTGGTTCATCGGCTGCCTATGGCGGGTCCGGCGGCTGCCTATGGCGGGTCCGGCGGCTGCCTATGGCGTCCCCACGACCAGCAGAGCAACGATCGGCTCGCCGCAGGTGCTTTGGTGACCTCGATCAGCGCCGCCAGTGCACAAGTTATGGCTGTCTTCGGTGATTTTATTCCCAGCTACGACCTACTTCTAAAAAGCGGCCGAACACTGTCAGATCAGCTAAAAATAACTGCGGCAACGAATAAAGGGATAAATGCTTGCTGAAGACTAAAAGGGTGCTCGCATAAACTGGCAGATTTTTATCAAAAAATGTCGGAAATCATTTATATGCAGGTGCCTAGTTATGTAGCACTAACGTAAAAAAAAAACACTTAAAAATAAATGATAACAATACATTATGCTACAATAAAACAGCTTAAAATATTTTTTCAGGCTACAAGGAGAAACAGAAACCACTCTGCAAATGCGTGTACCAGAGGTCTACGGTCGGAGATTCGGGGGGTCACCCAATTACGCAGTCTGCACCACTTCGGACCATACTCTGCAGTAAAAGGGCGCCACTCGGCGGCTCTGGCAGCTGACTGGCGCCCCGGGCCTGTCCCAGCCAGGTGAATCCCTGTCCTACATACCCCTCTGCAAATACGAGGCCGGCTGGCCGCTCACGACCGCCTATAAAACGCCCCTCGGACAAGACGAAAG